GGTGCGATGTTTTTGCATCCCTGTAGTTTGTGTGTTTCAGGCAGCAGAAACTGCCCTGCACACAAACACCCGGAATGAATTCCAACACTCCTGAACTTGTTATTTCCCTGCCCCGCTTCTCTCTTTTCTTCCTATGTTTGTTCTTCTTTTGCAGACTCCCATTGGAGGCCAAAAGCGAGCCTTTTCTCATCTGCTACCCTCTCCAGAGCCTAGTCCAGAAGGCAGCTACATTGGCCAGCATTCTCAGGGCCTGGGAGGGCACTACGCAGACTCCTATTTAAAGCGAAAGAGGATATTTTAATCGATTTCTTGGTGAAGCACTCTTATCCTCCCTAGCCCCAACAACGTGTATATTGTTTGTAAAAATATTTTTACTGTTTTATTTTAGTGTTTTTTTTTAAATGCTTGTATGTAAAAAAACCATAAAACCTTTATGCTTCTAAGGCCAGCTGCAATCTTGTTGTCTATTTTGAACCATTGTCCTAATGCTAATCCTGTGATCTGATAACTTTTTAAACCAAACCTCTGTGGCTGGGACAATCTTTGGCCGCATTGTTTTCTAGAGTGACTTGTTTCCTTGCAGTTACGCTCCTGAGTGACACATAGGTTCTTTTTGATAGAATCCAGCTTTTATATGGTGCCTGCAGTTGGGCAGAACTATCTAACTACTGAATTGATAATTGGAATCCTTAATGCTGTGTTAAGGGAGGATAGATAGAAGCACAACCTCCTCCAACCAGAGTGGTTTGGGCAAGATCCAGGTTTAAACGAAACAAAGAAGAACTCAATCAGTTCCCTAAGCCTGTTTAGATTCAGAATAGGCAATGTTGTCCTTTCTCAGAGGAGACCTACATAGGGTTCATTTTGAGAGAGTGGGAGTCTGGGGCCTTGTCCCCAAGGGATTTAGACTTCTGCTTTGGTATAATGACTTATTTCTGTTTCATAAACATGCTACAATATTTTTACTATAGATAACTGGCTGGTTTGCTGTATTTGTCGCTGGATTTGAAATCCGTCAACAGCTGGATACCAACTTTCTTAAAGTAAAGCTATATTTATATCAAACTTCACCATCTATTGTGTTATTCATTGAGAATGCGCTGCAAACTAATGCTTGGTTGAAAGATACTTGTGCCTCATATGTATCTGGATCTAGAACTGCCTTACATGAAAAATAATCTATATGAGTAGCGTCAACTTTTTGTGTACACACACACACACACACACACACACACACACACACACACACACACATCAAAAAGGAATTGGTGAAAACCGATAATCGGCCACTGCCTACTTTTCTTGTAGGGTCCCATTTTTTTTAGGGATGAGTACCATGAAAGTTTCAAGTTTATTAGGATTTGTATGCTGCCCACTCCCATACGGACTCTGGGCGGCTCACAACAGACAAGAAACATTTAAAATAAAATAAAAATAGAATAAAAATAAAATACAGTATTAAAATTCACATCACCCATTCCATCTAAACGGGGCTGGATATCAATCAACAGCCCTAGGCCTGCCGGAACAGCCAGGTCTTAACGGCTTTACGGAAGGCCAGGAGAATGGTAAGGGTCCGGATCTCTACAGGGAGATCGTTCCACAGGGCCGGCGCAGCAACAGAGAAGGCCCTCCCCCGGGGA